TGCCCAAGGTTATAATTAGAAGTCAGACGGTTGTCAAACATAAACATGTTGCACGTCGAATTAAAATTTGCATCCGATCGAAATTTAAATACTGAATCTCATTAAGATTAGCGTGAAGCCTGTGTAGGTATTGGTGATATTATAATTATTTTAATCCGACGCAGGTATTAATTTGACGCACAGCATATCCTCAGGTTGGTTGCCAGAAAAACATTGTTAGTGGATAAATTTTTTGTAATATACAGTAGGTTGTCGGGAAGTTAGTGTTAAAAAATTTTCATAGTAAATTTTTTTTGATCGATTAGATTTCTTACTGATCAGCCAATAATATGCTTGGACACGGACATTGTCCAATGAACATATGTCCATGTCTACTAATTTATTGGACGTTTGTCCGTGTACATTACTTGCCGCAGGATGATCATGTAGACATGGACATCCATGTCCAACGATTTTGCTTGGATATATGTCCATGTACATCACTGAATTAGAATATTTCCAAGGTGATTATATGTTTGTCTAATTCTAATTTTTAATATTATACTGTTTTTGCCAGTTTGGCTGGATCTATTTTGAATTCGGATCACGGTTCCCACAATCACATATTAGCGTTAGGAAACAGGAAAATTTGAGTAATCATTGTATAAGAGTCATCTGATGACACAACCAAGGCAATTTTTTTGTCTACACTAAAAAATATATAATATAATTTGAAGCGATTAGCAAAATCAAAATATACCGTATAATATTGCGTTTAATATCATCCCAAATAGTATGCCAGATTAGACTTGGGTATGTTTTAATACATGCTACATATTCTTCCTTCATTTTGAAATCAACACCGGACCGAAACCTTATCTGGCCCAAATGTGCATATGTATGCGTGTCAGTGTTTTGGCCTAAGCCTCCCCCAAAGTCCAAAACGTTTCGGCCCTGGAGTTTCGATATCGCCCAAAATCTGAAACCTCCGAAATGGGCAAAACTGGGCGAAACCGAGCTTCCGAAACCTCCGAAAATTCATATTCACGACTTCTTTGGATCATTTCGGATCTCTATACCAGTTTCGGAAGTTTCGCCCACAATTGAGTGACAAAATTATAAAAAAAAGTATGCGTGATGTAGCATAGGCTTTTAACTAGTTTTATAATATAAATTGCTAATATCCCGCTTATTGTAAAGAATTCAAACACTATAATCTTTTTTTTGTCTCAGTTCCAGTTTCCGATGCAATTTTATGCTCGGTTTTCCACGTGTTTTGGTGCTTCTCATGATTTTATTGCTATTAGCTTTGCCTGTTTAGAAGTTACGGAGGTTTCGCCAGTTTCGTCCAGTTTCGGAGGGTTCGGAAGTTTCGGTTAGGGCTTCTGGCGAAACTAGGTTTCGGAATTTCGGAGGTTTCGGTTTAGGCCGAAACACTAATGCGTGTATTAAATAAAAAGTCTTATTTTTGAAAATTTAACCACTTAGGTAGTGAAAGGGCCTTGTCTCCGTAGTCTTAATGTTGTGATGATGTAGGCAGTAATTACTTATGCACATAAAAACATTTTATATTGATTCTGCTAAGATTATATATCTTGAAATTTATATAAAAAAGAAAACTAATCAGGTCGCGCGTATGGCGGTTTGGAATGTCACAATTGCATATAATATAGAAACGAGTGCAAGCATTATGCCCTTAAAATTAGCAACAGTCAGTTATTAACCACCAGTCGGTTAGCTTATAAGCAATTGCCAGAAATAACCGACTAATGACCAACCATGACCTAACATTGATGCCCTTAATCTCTGCCCAACACTACATGGGTTTTCGCGCTTCAACAATTCTTTTATTTAAAAAGTATATACATGTGTATAGTTCATAACAATCACATACTATATGTGTTAAAAAATCGTCTAAATCTCATTGTTTCAATAATAATTTGAACTGTGTTGTAGTTGGCATTCTTCTAATAAATTTCAACTTTTCGGTCTGTTTAGATGGTGGTCGATTTTCTCGATCTTCATAGTCATTTGCAATTTTACTAACATATTGCTATAAATATTATATATGATAGAATTTATAAATAAAACTTTATAGTAAAATTCATTAAACAAAGATGTTTACCTCCATTAATATAAAATGGGAAAATGTTAATACAATCAACAGAAATGACCCTTTATCAATTGCTAATTTGTTTTTAAAACATGGCCATGATCTATAAACACCGTTATATGCTAAATCAATGACAAATGACTCTATATTATCCCCTGTATAAATGAATTTTGTGATTAAAAAAAATATTGAAAAATACTAGACAGTGCATAAAATCAGTTGTCTGGAGATTATTGTCAGGTCAATGATTTTTGC